TTTGGCTTCAGAAAAACAGCAAACTGGTATGCATTCTTTCAAACAATGGTGACACACACTCTCAATTAGTAATTCAATACATTGATTAAGATTCCACTTTCCTTAAATACTAGGGATGTTTGTTAGAAGTCTGTCAGTTGAAAAGGTGATTGCCATTATAAAGTAGAATCACTTCTTATTTTGATCATCATCATAGTAATTACTTCAAACACTTCTACTTCTTGTACATTCTTGGTTCCCATTATGACTATGTGATGTAGTAGTGTTAGTACCAGCACTGTTACAGTACTAGTGATTACATATCTATACAAGCTAGTAATAGTACTACTACTAATAGTATTGGTATTTGAAGGGCCCTACTCTCATTAGTTAGTAGTAGTATTTCATTGCAAACTCTACCACTGCTGCTGAGCTCTGTAGAATGATTGCAACTCATCTTCAACATGGTTTCAAATGACTTGTGAGCTGAAAAAAGGAGCAGAACTGGGGTTTGGGCCACCTTGTTGTTTGAAAGTTAGCTTTGTAGTAGAGAGCACTGTCTTCTATTAGATACTACTACTACTACTACTACTACTACTACTACTACTACTACTACTACTACTACTACTACTACTATTATGAATATCATGTACCATCAAAATATTTGAAAAACACCTCTGTAGATTTTGTACCATATTGTACACTAATGATGGGATGATTAATTTAGTGATGGAAAATTCTGGATTATAGTCAAGCACTCCTATGTAATCAGTTTTTCTGGGGTGTTTATGTTGGAGCAATTGCTGTCCCAAGCATCTGCCTTTGAAGCAGCCTTTGAGTTAGAATCAGATGTGGAAACTTGTATGAGGATAATGAAAGCTCAAGTGATGATGAGGAGGAGGTTGATGATACTTTGCCTAATTGTGATTCTGAGGCTTCTGGGATGAGTCATGAGGAGGCTGAACAAGCTGAGTTCTTCAATGTTGTTATCACACAGAGCTAGACAGCTTGGAACTGGGATGATGCTGTTGAGCTTCATGATACCAAGTTCTTTTATTGGAAGAATGGAACTAGTATTGTTGATAGCAGTCTTGACTTTCCAAAGGTTCCAGTTGGTTCTGAAAGGAGGATCCAAAGGTTGAGAAAGAAGAACCTAAAGACTGGAATGATGTTGATAATCCAGTTGGTTGGCATCCATATTACTACAGACCCAGGTTTGAAGCAGGTGCAGGGAAATACAAAGATCACTTTCTTCCTTTTGAGTGCAAGCCTGCAGAAATACCTAAACACTTAGCTGGTCTTGGTAAGGAACCTAGTATTAGATAGCAGAATGGATGGAACTTTCATTATCTTGGACAGGATGGTACTGTGGAGGATCCTAACAACCAGTTTGCAAGGAAGTTTGCTAGTAGAGATGACATGTTTCTGGAGGAGAGGAAGGGGAAGCTTGATATCTTCAAGTTTCAGCAACATTGGCTGATGAAAGACCAAATTGAAAACAGAGACACATTCTTTTTCTATCAGTTGCTGCTAACTACTATTTTGCCAGATTCAATAGAAGCTCTTCAGTATCAGATTGAACCTGAGAAGAAGCATACATATTACAATGAGGTGATGGGATATACCAATATCTACTTCTCTGATGACAATCAAGGGGAAGGACACCAAGTGAAAACTGTTACCTTACCTGAAGYAGTTCAGTTTGATGGCATCCTTTTTATGCATGGTGCTTGTGAAGGAGCACGTGAAAACATCAAGTATAGATGGGATGTGAAAGRTCTTTCATTCAATGAGGACATTGCAAACATCACGTACAAGGTGACATGAAATCAAAAGAAACTTGAAGCTGTGCAAGAATGATGCTGATTGTCCCTTTTGTGGAGCCCCCAACAATAGCAATGTGGCATACAAGTTTGATTTCATTTACCAGACAATTGTCAACAACACCAACTATTTCACTGAAAGGGCCGGCTTGGATCTATGTATTGACAAGACCAGCTGGCCCTATCACAGATTTGGTGGTCCTCTTGTGAACTACCTTAAGGGAAAAATGATAACAATGGGAGGACATACCGTTCTTATGTCTGATGTTGATCAAGTTCGTTCAAGGGCATGGCACCACAGATATCGTGGATGGCCAACTACTGATGATAGGCATACCTGCATTGGCCCTGCTGAAGTTCACACTGTTGTTGAGAACTTTGTTCTTTCTAACATTGGACCTGCAAAGATTTGGAAATCTCTTCCTCATATCAAAGCTGGCAATTTCTTCCTATCAGATTCCATCTTGGATTGGATGGGTGAGCAAGGATTGGGGATGATGGGGACTGTTGCTAAGAACTGGTTACCTGCAAAGGTTCCTGGAAAGTATTTCCATACAAAGAATGGCACAGGGGATTTGAATGGGAAACAGAAAGCAAAGACATCACATCTTGCTAAGCCTGTCACTGCTGTGAAGACTGTACCAGCTGATCTTGACAAAGGAACCAAAGCCTGCAGGCAGGTGCACTGTAAATTTCAAAGCACTGGAGCTTGTAATTTAGGATTATTGAACTCTATTTCATCTTCATCTCTTTACATTTACCAGAAGGAAAGGGGCAGGGGAAATGACAAGCAACAATGGGGCATTGAAATGAATGAGTTTTGTGAGATTTATCTTTATACATATGGGAAGCTGGATCATATTGATGCATGTATCTCTAGAGCCAAAAGCAGTTACATGCTACAATTAATCACGCAAAAGCCTTGGCCATTGCTACTGCATACAATATCTACAAAGAGTGCACTGATGGAAGCCTCATTGGTGATTAGTGGAATGTAACTAACGTAATGAGCTACTGTGAGTTCTGTCAGAGGCTTGTTTTGCAGATGATAAGATACAATCCAATTGACCAGGCTTATCATGACTGTGAYAGTAGACAGAGGCAGTGTACAAAAGTAACACAAAGGTTAAGAACTGGTAGGGCAACCAGAAGAAAAGTTTGTAAGACTTTCCTTAAGAATGGTAAGTTGCTTGGATATCACAATTTGCAGACCATTGCAGACAACCAGGTCAATRGAAGACTTTGCTTCACTCAGACTGAGTATAAAAGAAGGCATTTGGTAGCAACAACACCTACCAAGTCCAGGAGTAGAAACATTTGTTACATGTGTGGTAGTAATACTTACAGCGTGTGCAAGATATGTAGAGTCCTGCTTTGCAGCAGCCATGCTCCTTCAAAGAAGAGGGATTCCAATGGAGATCCCATCTGGAATTTCTGTCACAGCAACTATCACAATTATGAATGGTTTGGACTTGGAAGAGGTGACTACCACCGCTACTCTAGAGTAAGAAATGTCAAATCAACTAAAGACAGGAGAAATTAGAAGCCTCCAAGCAGTGAAGAGTTGAAAGAGAACACTGAGTATATGAAATTCTTATTGGACATCAAGGATGAGGAACACAATAGTGGTGTTGGTGATGTTGATGTTGATGTTGTTGTTTCGCCAAGCAGTACCAACACAACCAATGTTACTAACAGTGAACTAACTCTACCAACTGCCAATAGTACTGCTGAGTTAAGCACAGTAGTAGAAGTGGTTGGACCATTAGAATAGGAAAAAGAAATTGGATTGACATATCATGTTAAAGTGTGGAGAAATGGTGCTTCCATCACGACAGTTCCTTCTGATAAACCAGAAAGAGAATAAATGTAGTATCAAGGAGGTGCCTTGCCAGATTGTGAGTTAACAAGATTAGTGGCCAAATTTAGTGAGCATTTTATCTGTTGAGATGCAAAGTGTCTGTTGTGGGTTGAGTCAAAGTAGTCTTAACATGGTAGTAATTAGTAGATGGCCTATCAAAATCGCCACACCGTACAAAATACAAGTAGAGAGCTAAGTAAGGGTCAACTCACTCTAATTTCTCTATCTTGGTCCACAACAGACCCTTTCCATTGATAACCACATGAATGAAAAGCTAATACCAAGACCTTTCTAGTCATGTGGGGGTTATACTAGGGGTTAGTAACGAGTATTGAACAAAGATACTACTATACAGAGCTGTAGAGGATCTGAACTAAAAAATGTATGCATAGTTCAGCCACCAGAAAAACTTAGCCCACACTATATGATAGATGTGCTAAGTTTTTGTTCTGTCAGTCTATCAAAAGTAGTAATTCTATTAATGGGAAATGGCCCATTACCCTCCAAAACAGATGCAATCTATTACAGTACGTTGCACACCGCCCCCCTACCGTACTTGCAACAGGCAACATTCGTACATTGTAGGTACGCACGGTATGTATGGAGGTATGTACGTTGTACCTCTTTTCTCATCTGCCGTTGCACTGTAGGGTACGTACCCTTCCGCACCGTACTACGCTACGAAGGTACAATCGTGCTAGCTTAAAATAAAGCGTTATGGGACTCAAAATTACACCCTAATCACGGAATAAGTTGAAGTACGTAGTAGACAGACGAAATAATTTTGTTTCGAACCCTTCCACATGGAAACATGGCGTCAGTGAGAGAAAACAAAACTATTACTATCTTCGAAGGAAAAAAATAACAATTCTAACGAAAGCGCCTCGTAGGTCGTACCGTGGTACGAGTATGAGTACTGTGTCGTTGGTGTTGGGAACACCCRTTTCCGAAGTATTTCTTTCTTGCACTGATGGTCATATTGGTCACAAACAATAACATCATTGAACCATGAAAGTATTGAGCACGTTATACCTAGCTTCTGTGGCATCTGCCTTCACGACGCAGAGCTCGCACCGATCCCCCCTTGCTGTCGCGAGTCGAAAAGTAAAGCAATCCACTGTTGCTCGTTCTCTCCTCCCAAACAAGCAGCAACAATCGGATGCATCCCCTTTTGCCATTGACGTCGAAAGTTCTACCGTCCTCGATGCCAAGGGAACAAGTAAAACCGCTGAGGACGGAAGTGCAGGAGTCCGACAACTTTTGGGTGTGCGTGGCGCAGACAAATCGGACGACATCTGGAAAATTCGTCTCCAGCTCACCAAGCCTGTGACATGGATTCCACTTTTGTGGGGCGTGATGTGCGGAGCCGCAGCCTCTGGAAACTACCATTGGATTTGGAATCCGTTCGACCCTAACGACAGAAATGTTTTGCTTGGATTGGAAGACACAGCTAAAGCTATCACCGCCATGGTCCTAGCAGGTCCTTTTTTGACGGGTTACACTCAAACCATTAACGATTGGTATGACAGAGAAATTGATGCTATCAATGAGCCTGATAGACCAATCCCTAGCGGTGCCATTGCCGAAGGGGATGTAATCGCTCAAATTTGGATTCTCCTCCTTGGAGGATTGGGACTGTCTTACGGTCTTGACGTTTGGTGCGGCCACGAATACCCCATCAATCTTTACTTGGCAATTTTCGGATCTTTTATTTCCTACATTTATTCTGCTCCTCCACTCAAGTTGAAACAAAACGGATGGGCCGGAAACTTTGCCTTGGGTGCCTCCTACATTTCTCTTCCGTGGTGGTGCGGACAAGCCGTCTTCGGCGAGCTTGATCGCCCCGTCTTTTGGATCTTGTAAGCAGATTTTTGTACCTGTGAACTTCGTCTCCTRCTGTTTTGTTCTTGTGAATGCAACCATGACATCTCACATTTTTTTTTCATTCTCACTGCAATTTTCTTCTCTCACGTGCAGGCCCGTGCTATACTCGATTGCGGGACTTGGAATTGCTATTGTGAACGATTTCAAGTCGATCGAGGGTGACAGAGCGATGGGACTGAACTCTCTTCCTGTTGCATTCGGAGTGGACGGAGCTGCAAAGATCTGTGCAGGATCGGTCACGATCACCCAATTCGGTGTTGCCGCGTACCTCTACTCTATTAACGAACCAATTTACGCGGCAGTCTTGTTGGCGTTGGTGTTGCCCCAAGCTTACTTCCAAGCCACACTTTTGCTACCCGACCCAATCGAGAACGACGTCCAGTACCAAGCTTCTGCCCAGCCATTCTTGGTCTTTGGTATCCTAGCAACGTGTTTGTGCCTTGGACACCACGAATTCCCGGTATAAGATGGGGAAAGCAAAAGATGTTTACTGCGCTGATCTATTCGATTCACTCGATTTTCGTAGACAGCAAGTGAGTAGCCATCGGTATAAGAGTAAACTGTTAGCGAATTATTTTTATATTTTTTACTCGACATGAGCCGTCAGCAGTGGAGAACAGTCCCCGATAGTCCGAGAAGCTCAAGTTGGCGCCGTGGCCTTTCTACCTTGGATTTCATTTTTTCCTCGTGCCACTTTCGTCGCTCTTCGTCCTGGAATTCTTCCTCCCATTTGGTTCCATCAACATTCACCAGTCGAGCTTCAGCCTCTGGAAATAGGTTTTGCAATAATGCGATGGCCGCACATTCCTCAACACCAGCTGATTTTCCCAAGTCAGAGATAATTGAGAATCCTGTCATGGACAGTTTGTGGAGATCCCAAACACAGAGAGTGTTCCATGGAGTTGTTCTGCCCGTCAGCGGAACGACGCGTCCCCTTTCGTCCGATGATGACTCGATTTCGTGATATTGGTGACCATTCAGGACAGCTCCGGCTACAATTACATTTTTGTTATCGCTGACTTGTTGGCACAGCGTTCGCACAGTCTTGCAAGAAAGATTTACTTCAGCTGATACAAACATAATTAGGTCAGCTTCCTGCTGTGTTTTGGCGTGGATTACGAGTGAATTCAACGCAGGAACAAATTTTCCCCACGGTGTCACAGGTAGAATATGAATGTGATTGCTACCGTTCGCCTCATTGGCGCTGTTGGAGTGTAGAGCACTCCGTACAGCTTCGACATAATCATAGCCCTCCAACCTAGGTGTTGCGTCTACTGCAATCAAAACTTCAGTCTCGTAATCCTGGCGCAGGCCATTATCATCGCAAACCCCTCTCAAGTTGGCTAAGACACTGTGAAGAGATTCCTCTGTAGGCGGAGAGGAGGCTCTTCCCAGGTGGAGACGAGTGGCGATTACAAGCTTCATCAATTCGCGAATCGCATTAGTTGCTGAATAGTTCCAGATGATGGTTCCTTTTCATTTCTCCTTTTGAACTCTGAAGCATGAAGTTACGGTACCAACACTGCTTTGTTCAAGACAACACCCTAGATTCTTTGATAGTTTTATTCTTCGTCTGTTCTTGATCTTGTCGTTCGTAGTTCATACGGTACAGTACAACATACTAATTCATGACGGTGGTGATAAATCCTAGTGTTGACGAACAGACGTAAAGGAGTTGAATTTTCATATTGGGCCATTGGTTGCCGCCGCCATTGCTGCTGTTGTGTCTCCAAGGGCGGCGGCGGAAAAACTTACTATGGTGCAAAAACTAAGTTATTGCTAGAATGACTTGTCACAATAATGACTGAATGTTTAAGTTAAAAATGAATAATCTCTTTTTTGTCAAGGTACTAATTTATTTGCAAAAACTGGAATACCAGGGTTTACACACCAAGAAATCCACACTAAAAACAAGATTCTTTTTGTTTCCTCCAAATCCAGGGCTGTAAGAATTCTTCAAACAAGTTACTGGGTACCGCGCACTAAAGTTAGTGAAGTCCAGTGCACCATAGCAGCCAATTCCCGTTAATATTTGCTGAACCTGTAGATTTAGCACATTTATTACTTTTATAATGATAGTAGGAACCAAAACTCCAACAGACAAACTGAGAGGAAGGCTGGCTCTTTTGGGAATCTGCTGGTGGAATCTTTTAAAAAGCTGACCATAAATACTAAAAAGAGTCACACAGACTAAGAAAAAGAAGCATACAGACTGAAAAGAGGCATGTGCAGAATTTGTGTTGAGTCTTTCTTGTTCAATGGAGTTCTCATTCATGAGTTCCATCATAGATTTATTACTACATTTAGAGGAACAGCAAATTTGAGCCCAATCAAAAGTAATATATTTTGTAATGGAATTGCAAAATTTTCAGTCTATCTGTCTATCAAAAGCAACAATTCTATTAACGGGAATGGCCTGTATTGTGAAAATTTGTGAGATAGTTAAATGGGCCATTCCTGTAAACATTGAATCTACTTTGCTGACATGATACTTTATGTCTATGACTCAACAGGAATAAATATTTGAGAAAGAGATGATTTAAGACCCAGAATTAAGATCTGATATGAGAATAATTGTTTCATCCTCATTAACTTATCTAGCCATTAGGGTTGTTGTTATCATTTTACTCTTTTAGACTTCATCATAGTAGATGTTGCAAACATATTGAATCAACACTTAGTGCTAGTAGTAAATAGTAGATTTAGTGGCGAGTTGAGGGTACCAACTAGTTTGAGTTGGAATCAGAAGTTTTCACTGTAGGACCTGTAGTTCGTACATGTCAGACCAGCACCTGTGTCAATTTGAGCTCAACTCATCATTGAAGCAATGTCAGTGTTGGAGATTTTTGGAGGTGTAGGGATATTGGAATTTTGTTTTCAAAGATTTGATTTGTACAGTTTTGATGTCCTCTTTAGGGAATAGTTGATATGGAGTATCAGGACATTTATCAGTGTTGTTTGAACAAGTTCACACAATGTGGATACAATGATGTATGTTCTGACACAGCAGGTAAGGTTGAGGCCTTTGTTGGCTCTTGGATTGTTGTAATGTTGGGAGGGATGAAAGGCATTTGTATGGTCATCATTTTGCATAGAAGACAGGCAGGGTCAATCAAAAGCTTTAGGGTTGGATTTGAYCTCATTGATTTCCATTGTATAGGAGAGCTCAAGGCTATCAGCGTCATGCTTGGTTGCTTGTACCTGGTTGACAGAGATAGGTTTGTATTGTGATGGCATTTTTTTGTTTGTATGATGGAATGAATGAATTGAACCCATAATTTGGTTATTGTCCTGTAGAGGTACTATTATTTGGATTATTTGGTAGGTTCAAGAATTGTTGGAGAGTAGCAACACAATTTTATGGTTCAAATTTGTGCTTCAGGTGTGTCAAGTTTTGTTCCCAAMAAGGTATTTCTATCTGGAGAAATGAGGAGTGTTCACATCCACCATTTACAATTGTCATGTATAGTTTGTGTGTTGCTTTCTATGAGAGCTTGAAGCATGGTGATGTAGTGATTGCATTTCTTCCAATATTCCATAAGGGGGAGGGTACCTTGGGTTGGGCAAGTGCTGAAAAGCATTGATGGTGATTCAATGAGTAGTGGATATGTTTTGCATAAAATTGATTTCATTCTTGCTTCATAACCTTGTCCATTGTCAAGTTCAATCATGTCTTGTTAATTGTCATTGGAGGTGCTGAAGATGTTTGTGGATGATGTCCCAAATGATTTGTGAGTTGATTGTGATCTTTGTTGGTTCAAATGTTGGGTTGATGTCATTGGCATCGATACCAAGGACAAAAACCAAAGGGGTGGTGGTTGTAAGTTTGTCAAAAGCATGGGTGGCAATATTTACCAGATCTGGAGCAGTGAAACAGATGTACCAGTTCTYGGTATTGGTGATGGTGCAAAAGTTCTTTTGGCTTTGTTGGCCAACCTCAACAAGAACAAAGTATGAACCATCATGTGTTACAAAACCAGTGGCAATGTTACATGGACTGCTATTGTACATGCAAGTCACATGGTATTTGCACTGGGACATGTTCAGGTTGTATGAATTGACAACTTTCTTGGGGTTGTTCAATGGGACAAACGTGGTGTTGATGGTAAGACCATGGGCTTTGGGTTTTGGTGCAAGATGCTGGATCATATGACAATTTTGGATCATTAGTATGCAGGCCTGGTGGTCAGCAAGGAGTTGGACAAGAGGTGGGTTGGTTGGTGGAGGTGTCAGGTTAGTTGGATTGTCTGGAGGAGGGGTATTTCAACTGAGAGGAGYAGGGAAAAGGGGTGTCAAAGGAAATGGTGAAGTCATAGACATCAAAAGGGTGTCAATCTTGTTCTTCTTTTTGTCACAGTAAGTGAAGCAACTGATGAGGAGGTGATGCTGATGGCCTGTATTCTGTTTTATTGTACAAGCCCATGAGACAATTTTTGACCTTAATGATGTTTTTGACAAGGGGACGTTAGGAAGCAGCGTATTTCTTTCATGCACAGTTAGCTACCGGATCCTTGACTAGTTCAACTATGTTAGTTCTTCCTATCTACAGCAGGATTTGTGCCAGCCATACTATGCATTCCATGCTGAAGAACAAAGGGATATCTGGGAAACTATCACTATTTAAAAATTTGTCATTTTTTTGGCTACCAGAAATTGACCAGAAAATGACCGGGAAACAAAGGATGATAGATACAGGATTTAAATCTGATTTAAATCAGAATTAATAGCCGATTTCTAGTAATTTCCTAGAACCCCCTACATGTCAGTAATACTAAAACTGTTAGGMCCTTATCCATGGTGCTAGTAGTACCAAGTATCAATTGACTATATATCTACCAATTGTCGACTTTATTTCTACCATACTACTACTATAATATCTGCCATGTTTCTACTTTAAATCTACCATAAATAAGCCAGAAATTTTTACGTTATTTAAAAATCGATTCCTGTAACCCCCCAAATATTTGTTATATCTTTTGTGTCAATTGACTCTTATCAACGCTGCTAGTGGTCAACGTGGTAAAACTAGTCAAGGATCTGGTAACTAACTGTATGTGGAAATACGCTGTTTCCTACTAATGTCCCTGCCAAAGTTACACTATTTGGTAGCCATGTGAGGATAAATGTGTGGAACAACGACAACCACGAGTAGCTACTGAATAACCTCACTCTTTATTGTAAACACCCGTTAATTGTACAGTAAGGAGCAACACAATATTTCACAGGTTATGAGCATCTAATGACTTACATCAGCTCCTCTAACCATCATCAGTAACAACAACAAACTTATTTCTACCAGAGAACTCGTCTGATTTACGCCGAAATTCGTGAGTTATCGTCGGCTGTAAGTACGAGTACGAGTTCGTACTTGTTCACTGATTAAACTGGTATCGTAGTATGATTCGTACTCGAGATCGTGCTTCAGAATCACGGCCTGGTACCGTACGTACTGTACGGAGGTACCTTATCACGGCAGACATGGCGAAGTCGCAAGTCGTCAATTTTCAATCTAAAGAGGTCTTCATCAATACAATACTAACGTACTTGTACTTTTTTTTATTTACGGGGGTAAAAAATAAAAACTGCTGTTTTSTTATTGAAAAATTTGATKATCCTTTTGTCCCCCGAGTTGGTACAGAYTTACAGTACAAGTTGTCTTGTCTAATTATACCTTTGATTTGCCTTTCRACTGATGGTAGGACGGAAGGAGATTTGATGCTAGCTCTTTTTGATCTCGCGTTGAAGAAGATCTCATTTTGATTGGAAGAAAGAAACATCTGCTTTTCGCCATTGTTCCCTATGTGATAGAAATGTTCTTTTTGTTCGACACTCCATGCTTAGAGAACAATCGATGTCGMCACCTACATACTTATGTGATTGAATCATGTTTCCTATCGTTTTTTAATCTTCCGAAAATGTAGAGGCATAAATGAGACGGACAAGTTATTACCGCTAATATATCAGGTTCTTCCAGTACTGTAATGTTCTATTGCGTTCGTAATGCGCGCATGCTTTTGCCGAAACTGAACGTGGGAGCGTCCAGTTGCAGATTGCGCTAAGATTACGCACTTATTGATTCCTTCCTCACTTCTTACAGATTCGACTAGTAATGAGTGCACCGCTGCTACTCGAACGCGTTGTACTAATCGAAGAAAATTGTCCGGTAGTCGTGCTTTTGATCGAAGTAAAATTACACAAACGGTTGACCAACCGAGTTCCAATACTACGGCAATACCCATGAGTCTTTTGGATCGGCTAATTTGATGTCTATTTGATTGATGTAAATCAATTTTGTCGATTTAACTGCTCTTCCACTTTTGAATTTTGAAAGGTAAAAGGACTCGGTAGCAAACGGTAGGAAATCATGACTTCAGAAGACGATAAGTTTTCGCCAAGATGCACGGCGTCGCAAGCTGCTTATGAGAAGACACAAATTCTTTCGCAACAGTCAAAGCTAAGTGTGCTGAAAGAATGCATTCAACCAGTTCGTTGGGAGAGTGTCCAGCAAAAGTCACTCTTGGGGAAAGGAGCGTTTTCGGAAGTTTACCGAGTTGACATAAATACACCTGAATTGAAAGACAAAAAGTGCGCTCTGAAGTATCTTAGTCCTAAGATCACCAATATCAAAGAGGGAAGCTTTGATCTCGCAGCAATTGATTTGGCAACAGAAGCAAATCTACTTTCAAGATTGAATCACGAAAATATTATCCATTTACACGGGGTCTTTGGCGGAGAGCTTAGAACTTCCTACGTTGATTATGAAAAGGGTTATTTTCTCCTTTTGGATCTTTTGCATGATACTTTGCCCAAGCGCTTGGACCAAGCTCGAGCAAAGGAAAGGCGAAGGATACTGAGTGGTAGCATATCCTTCCCGAAGATGTTGGAGCGTATCGAAGATGTCGCATTGGGCGTATCCAGAGGATTAGAGTATCTCCACCAGAATGGAGTAGTGTTCAGGGACCTCAAACCAGACAATATCGGCTTTACTAAAGACGGAAAGCCTGTTATCTTTGATTTTGGTTTCGCACGCGAACTTCACACTGTGAAGGCTGGCGAYATAGCTGGGAGCCTCCGTTACATGTCCCCAGAAATGGCGTTTGGACAAGATCCAAAACTACCGTCTGATGTTTACTCATTTGGCGTATTGCTTTTCGAGGTTTGTACATTGGAAAAACCATTCAAACAATTCAATCAACAGGCTGAATTCAAAGAGAAGGTTTTGATAGAGGACTACAGGCCTCCACTAACATCGATTCCTTCCACGGAATTAAGGGACCTGATTACAAGAACTTGGAATCCGGATCCGAAAAATCGTCCAGATATGACTTCTGTTGTTAAGCTTCTTCGTGTCGAGGTGGCGCTGAGTGAACGCCAAGTTCAAAAAGGAAAACTAGGACTGCACCGTCCTAAATCGTGTTCATCAAATATAAGTGGCACCCTAAAGCGAGGAAGCACTATGGCTGCTTTGACGAGTAACGCGATGTTCAGGAGAGGATCATTTCATGCTGAAAACAAAACTATCGTTAGCACTCSCGTCAGTGAAATGTCCGATCCTATCTCCGATTTATCTTTGGTTGATATGGGTAGATCCTCCACACGCAAGGTATCTATATCATCTTGTTCAAGTGCCTCTGATATTTCCCAATGCAATTCTTCTCATAGCCTCCAAAAGTCAGAATTTACACTTGGACGACTGAGGAAACCATTCAGACGACGACCTTGTGCGAAATCATAGTCGCCGTGAAAGAAAGAAAGTAATTTTCGTCACGGTAATTGAAGGCAGTGTAATAGAACATCTACGTCTTAAGTATGTACAGTATCATAAATCATTTACAAGTTTTGAAACAAGGCTTTACCGTAGAGGAATTCTTCTCGATGGTTTTGTACTTGAAACTAGAGCAAAGTAGAGCGCAGCATTCTCGGGAAGAGTACAAGTCATAGTGTTGCTACATTAGTTTCGTCGAATCTCATAAATGTCTTTTCGTCCTTTGTTCTGGTCGTAGCTGTAGAATGTGAGCTGATTTATCTGTTGTATCTTCACTGGCCAGGCCTTTGTACTTGGTATTTTGTCGCGCCCGTCCAAAGTTTTTGACTTGCATTACCTCAGGGAGCTTGGACTTGTCGATTTTGTCTTCTCCTGTATCTGCCTTTGCATACTCCGCAGCTTTTTGGCGTATATCACCTTCGTCCCACTCGGACTGGTCCATGTAATATGCACCGCGGTGAAAGTAACGCTTGAGGTGATTCGAACCTCCGGACGTGCCTTGGTTGCGATTTGCTCCCGGCGCTTGGTATCTTCCTGACGCGATGTCTTCCTTCAAGCATTCTGCATCCGTGAGTTTCTTTCGTCGCGAGTATTCTTCGGCCTCTTTCCTCCGTTTTTCTTCTTTGTCCATGGCCTTCAGCAAGCGTTCTAGCTCTCGGAGCTCCCAAGCGTTGTGCTCCTTGTCGTTATCCAATTCGTCGTCATCATTCGGTGGAGCATTGTTCGCACCTCCGCATTCGTCGTCCACATCATCTCCATAATCGTTCTGCAGAGACGATTTTGCGTCAGATAATTCTTTTGCGACAAGAGCCCTCGATTCTGCCTTTCGTTTTTGATTGCGTTCCTTTTCCTGTTTCAATCTGAGTTCCTCTTCTTCCCATTTCTTCTCTTCCGATTGGATGAGGTTCCTCTTATGTTTTGGAACAAAGATGGGCTTCAACCTGACTGGTTCATCCTCTTCACTGCTACTGCTGCTGCTACTACTGTCCGAGGACGAACTCCCAGAAGAACTTTCGCTATCACTATCGGAAGAAGAAGCCGCTCGGCGTTGCTTTGCCTTTCGCCCCAGGGATTCCGATTCTGCTGGTTCTATCCTCGTTCGATCCCGCTGTGAAGGAACACGGCCAACCTCTAGCGATGAGCTTKGTTCTTTCTGTTGATCTTTTTCTTCGAGTCGTGCCCTGGGTTCTGGCACAACAGGTTCTGGTTCTTCTTGCGCTCGGCGCGACGCCAGAGCCCTTCGGTTCCGTCTCCTKTCACACTCGTCGTCGCTGCTGCTATCGGAACTGCTCTCGGCCTCCCTTCGTCGCCGGCGGCTCCTCCTGTCGTTCACGACCTTTCGTTTCCTGTTTCCATCGTCACTCGACGAGGACGAGGAATCGGACCGCATTCGACGGCGGCGTCTCTCGCGCTCTTTCTCGCTGGATCGTCTCCGTATCACAACCGCGGCCTGYGTGGGCCTTCGTTCCGTCACGAACTCGTTTTCGCTGTCCTCCTCGTCGTCATTCTTGCGGTGCTTGATCCCTAACGCATCGGGTGCGACCGGGGTTTTCTCGACTTGTTGTTCTTGTTCTTGTTGCTGCTGCTGCTGCTTGGACAACTCTTCGGCCAGCAACTGGTGGTGCGCCAAGACCTTTTTCTTGTTTTGGCTTCGGTACACTCTCGAGTTATTGCCACCAGTCTTGCTGCCACTCGTCTTTTCGAGCAGGAGTTTGGCCGTCTCCGCCGCCGTCAGCTTCGAGATGTCTATTTCTTCCCTGGATCCTTTCGAGGAGGACTGGCGGGGATGCTGCTGCACGGACTGGCGAAAGGCCGCCATTTCTTCGGGTCCGTCGCCCCCACCCGGCCCACCCAGGAGGGCATTCATCTCGTCTCGGCCGAATGCTTTCGACATGCTGGTTGCTTGTTTTGGTACAGTGTCTTTGTCGAGTCAACGAACGAACTGGATCTGTTTCCTCCAATACTCGATGCGGAACACAAGCAGTAGCAGTAACAATACGGTACGTACCTGTGTAAAATGTACGTATGCTCTTTAGTGCCGTATAACTACGTGTTTACAATAAAGAGTGAGCTTATTCACTATCTACTCGTGATTTAGGCTAGGCTCACAACCTGTTCGAAATGGTCAATCATTGGAGTGGACACCGGACACAGGCTCCGCCAGGGGTCATGACCCCTGGGCTCCGCGACGAAATGGGGTCACGGAACATACGTACGGTACGGTACGGCACGATACGATCATCGTACTCGTAGCTGCACGTCTGCACGGGTCCGTCGGTCTGTACGTACTCTGTACCTACCGGTATCTGTGTTCAGCACCCCTGACTCTATTTACGTTACGAACAGAGCAAAGTCTCCCGTAGCGTAAATATTTTACAGTAAATATTTGTTGAGTACCTGTTATCTTATCTTTTGTACATACTATATATATGCATTATATGCTGACTTAAAACTGAAAATTCGATTATCTCTGCTCTCCGTGATTTAGGCTCACACACGTACTCCATGTTGCAAATCAATGAAAGACAAGTTGATAATTAGGGTTAAGGATTACCGTGTACCCAATACTACAAAATACACCAAAGAAAAAGATGATAATACCGGAGCCATGATTTAGCGCTCATACTCTTTAATTTATCTATTAGTGAATACAGTTTACCATTAACAATACTTTCATCTAATCTCTGATCCAGCCCCCGGTAGAAGGAGTGACAAATAAGTCATCTCCATATGGCCAGTGAGATCAGGGGATCAACATAAATTAAAGAGTAATAAACGCTAATGATATAAGATGGCGGACGATGACAGAAAGGTCAAGTTCGTCGAAGCAGAGGCCGTAGCAACAGAAACGACAACACCAAAGGCCTCCGCAGTACGGAGAACAAATAACAAGTACCATAAAAAGAAAGGATACCACAATACATACGTAAAGAAATCGTCAACCTCACATTATACCTCAAAGACAGAGGAAATTAAGAATGATATCTTTAGCGTGGGACCCAACATGGGGAAGAAATGGATGACAAGCCGAGAGGCGTTCATCAACTATGCGGCCAGGACATATGGAGGAAGTGTAAAAGCCTCACTGCATAAAAACAAACTAACCATGTTGAACGTGGATAAACCAAAGGAATACACAACAGAGGAATACGATAAGCTCACGGCACTGGACCTAGAAATATGGAAGATGGATTACAAACGTTATCGAGATAAACAAGATAAAGTTCGCGACAGTCTAGTGAAACTATACGATACACTATGGGACCAATGTGAACCTGCAATGAAGAACAAAATAAAGGCTCAACCGCAATACACCACGATGATGGAAGAATCAGATGTAATTGGACTCCTTAATATCATCGACTTCATATGCATTAACAACGATACCACAAAGTGTTATGAACTACAGAGTTTCCTTGCCGAGAAAAGAGTATTGAACTTCAGACAACGAGAGGACCAAGAAGCAGCTGATTACTTCAAAGAATTTGAAATGTTACTACGTGTCGCTGAGCAAACAGGAACTAACTTTGCAACACCACAACGATGCGAGCATACAGCCCAATCAATGTACCAAAGACCACTCAGTGAATTATCGGAAGCGGAACGATTGGATGTAAAAGACAGGACTAGAGAAAGATACATTGCGATGATATTTATAATGAACTCAAACAGGGGAAAATATGGCAAATACAAGGAAGAATGCCACAACAGCTTTGCCCAAAAGGATGACAAGTATCCAAAGACACTAGTCGATGCATTAACAGTCCTTGAACAGTACCGATTCAATCCCGTATTCTACAAGAATAATGAGAAAGGAAGAGGAAACAACGAGTCGATAAACCAGGCTTCACATAGCTTTTATCAAGAAGGTGACGATTCGGATCACAGCAATAATAATAGCAAACAAAACAAGGATAGCGAGAGCAAAACTAACTCGGATAGTAACTCCAATGTTATAACTTGTTTTAACTGTGGTAGAGAGGGACACATATCCCCAAACTGCACTTACACACATAAAGAAAATGGTGACCTCACACCAAAAGAATACAAGAAAAGGAAAGCCAACAGGAGGGAGAATATACAAGAGGAGATCGACAAAGTAGCAACAGGGACAACATGTGTTGTAACGGATGAAATGATCGACTCATGGTCAGACAACCTAACAGGGGATGACTATGACCTATGCTTCCTGCAACAGGCGCCGCAATTGAAAGAAATAATAATTGAAGACTTAACGAATAACCAGAAGGCTGTCCTGAACTCCGTAGAAGGAAGACTCAATCCATTCTGGGTACTACTCGATAACCAATCGACAGTACACGTCTTCTTCAACACACTATTCCTTCGGAACATAAGACAAACACACAAGGAACTGCACCTGTATACTAATGCAGGGAAATCAATAATTAACGAAGTAGGAGAACTGCCAGGATTTGGGACAGTATGGGTACACAGGAAAGGAATCGCGAATATACTGTCGTTCCATGGAGTGCGAAAAAAGAAAGGATATGAAATCACTTACAACAGCCACATATCAGATACCTTCAACGTGTACAAGCCAGATGGATCCGCACGACACTTCATACCCTCTAAAAAAGGGTTATATTACTCCGACTTCTCAAGCAGCTTCAAGAAACAGAACATCCGTATAACGGACGGTCTCGGAACTGTACTGCAAAATGATGGAAAGATCATCGATACCATAGAAGGGAACAAAGCAAAATACTCCAAGCAGGATATAAAGCGAGCCGAACGGGCCAGAACATTCCAACATATTGCAGGACATCTAAGTGATGACCAATTAATGAGGATTGCTCGAAAGCAACAGCTGAAGAACAGTCCCATTATCCCAAGAGACGTACAATTAATGAAGTCAATCCTAGGACCGAGCATTCCTGGACTGAAAGGAAAGACAACTCGAAAAGCAAAACCATCCGTAACAACAGAAATAGTTCCAGTACCACCACATATTAAGGAACACTACCAAGAACTCACAGTCGCAATGGACGTTATGCACGTGAATGGAGTACCATTCCTAACCACGACAACCAGGCATATCCACTACCATACGGCGAGTGCATTACCAACAATGCAAGACACCAACATTACCAAGGCAATCAGCGCACTCCAACAATTCTATAAGAAACGGCACTTCCACATCAAGCATATCCTTGCAGATGGACAATTCCAATCATGTACACACAACATCGCATCGATGGGGATTGACCTTAACTGCGTATCGAGGGATGAACATGTGCCAGAAGCTGAGCGACTCAACAGAACTATCAAAGAACGGTGTCGGTGTAATGCCCACATGGTCCCATTCAAAAAGATCCCGAAGCGGATGATCATTGGCCTTGTTAAGAATGTGGTGTTCTATCTAAATGCCTTTCCCCATCCTGATGGAGTATCGACAGACCTGTCTCCATACACCATTGTGAATGGAAGAGTACTGGACTATAACTTACACTTCACAGTACCGTTTGGAGCCTACGCACTCACACGGGAACCAACTGATAACACGCTCAAAACGCGAGCAACAGGAGCTATTGCCATGGGACCAAGTACAAATATGCAAGGCGGGATCACCTTCTTTAGCTTAACTACAGGAAGAGAATTGCATCGTAGCCTTAATGACTTCACCTTGGCCCCATTCCCGAATGATGCAATAAAAAGAGTTGAGGATATGGCCTCCAATTCTCCAACGGGCGTCACATTTAATGATAGAAACAATAATCCTATCGTGGACACACCATTATATGCCCACGATGATGAATACGGTGAGCCTGCAGTACTCAACCCAACTGATATCCACGATAACGAAACTACTAACCATGCTGCTCCAATACAGCAGCAGCTTACAGGAGTGAACACAAACAACACTAACAACACTAACAACACCAACGATGATGAAAACAATTATGATGAAAACAATGATGACACCGACAATGAGGACACTTACGACAAGGACAATGATGACAACGACACCGAGACAAGCGACAACGAACATACAACAGAACACGAACACCCTAACACGATCACAGGAGTGGATAGTCCACCGACTAATGAAACAGACCATGAGAACGAAACAATGGACATCACAGGAGTGGCTGACGATACACCACAGGAACCACGTCGGTCTACTCGATTACGAAACACTGGCAACTACACGCGGCCAATGAACGACCAATACCAATTCCAGTACTTGCAGCAAGGACAAGTGATGAATGAGAATGAACAAATAACAAGGATAACAACGGAAAATGAATACAACAACTATATCAATGCACTCAAATACATGAACCATGAAATTTATAAGGATCAAATGATACATGATCTCGTACTAACGCAATACAGTCTCAAGACAGGACTCAAGAAGTTCGGAGACGATGGACGAAAAGCCACCATGAAGGAGCTTAAACAAATGCTCACCAGGAAAGTGTTCAGTGAAATAAAGTATGAATCACTATCAGACGAAGATCGAAAACAAGCACTACCGATACTCCTATTCCTAACAATGAAAAGGGATGGAAAGACGATCAAAGGAAGGGCATGCGCCGACGGGCGCAAACAAAAGCTATGGACGCCAAAACATGAATCAGCATCACCAACCATAGCGATAGAAGCACTATTCTTTACACTAATAATAGACGCCCAAGAAAGCCGGGATGTGGCAACATGCGATCTACCAGGACACTTCCTACAGACAGACATGGAAGGGGAACTGATACTACGATTAGACGGACCACTTGCTTTGCTACTGGCCAAGATAGATCGGAAAAGATGGAAACGACACATACGAATTGAAAAGAACAGACCCGTAATATACGTAAAATGCGATAAAGCCATATATGGAACAGTGACTGCAGCTCTGCTATCATATAAGAAGCTCATTGGACACCTAAACGATTGGGGCTTCGGAATGAATCCATATGAACCATGCTGTTGGAACAAGGATATTAACGGGGAGCAATGCACCGTGGTATTCCACGTAGATGATATGAAAATAAGCCACAAAGACCCGCAAGTGGTCAC